CCTCATTTTTGGGTTGTAGACTCCGGAGCAACAGACCACATCGCGAGGGACAGAGTAGGGTTCGTTGAATATCGCCGAGTACCTGCTGGGAGCAGAAAAGTTTACATGGGGAACGAGTCCAGTGTGGAGGTGCTTGGCATTGGCACATTCAAGCTAGAAATGCAACGAGGGCGCACCTTGTATCTTCATGATGTTCTTTACGCTCCGGATATTCGGCGAAACTTAGTTTCAGTTATTAGCATGATGAGCCTTGGTTTTAGCTTTTGTTTTGAGAATAATGGTCCTAACATAGTTGTGTACAAGCAATTGAACCAACAATTCTGGATCAACACAACACAGATGAAATCACAGTTGAAACAGTAAGAGTAGATAGAGATTGTTCTAAGAGGTTCAAACGCCTCTATTGTTTTCAAGAACGAATTAAATTCAGCAGAATATTGAAATCAATAGAATATTCAAATTCAACAGAATAATGAAGAGGAGAGAACTAAAACCTCCCCAAAACCTCCACATCACAGAATATTGAAATCATTAAATAGAACTAATAGATATAATAGAGGGACAAAGTTGGATTCATTCATAAAAATTAGGCTTGCCGATTATGAATCAATCGAAATCTTCATCAACAATCGATCAAAATCTTCATCACCAATCTGAGTCATGAGAGCATCACAAAAACCAGAAGCAGGGGTTACATGTCTGGATAGAGTAGAATTCAATTGTTGTTGTCTAGTACCATCGCTAATTTGATGTGTATGATCTAACATTCCATTCTCTTTTTCTTTTCTTTTTTTTATTTGGATAAATAAACAAACTTTATTAAAGCAGCATCAAGATGATGCAAAATACAAAAATGGGCCAGCAATAAACTAGCAAATGAATCTAACTTTCCATTTCACTCCCAACAAAAAGGTTCAGTATGGCTGGTACCACCACAATAATCACACTTACTATCACCACGATTACCAGTACAGCCACCACTATGAAAATCACAGGTATCCACAA